TTTATTTTGTTTAATGGCTGTATATACCCTGACACTAGAAAGTAAACTCTGAAGACAAAGGTTTTTGGCAATTCTGTCCACTCCTCTACTGCCATCACTAAACTAAATAAGTACCAAAACTGTATACCAATATCAAAACAATGTCTAGCACATAGTAAGCGCTCAATAAATTTCTGCTAGATAAATAAAGGATTAAGGCAAGGAAAAAGAAATAAGAAGAATTTTTTTATTTGACAGAGAGAGAGCATAGCAGGTGGAGTAGCAGGGAGAGGGAGAGGGAGAAGCAGGCTCCCCGCTGAGCAAGAAGCCAGATGTGGGGCTCTTGAACAGGAAAGCCTTAGGTATAAAATTCTGAAAAGAAACAGTAATACTCAATAAAAATTTAGAAGTTTAACCCCATTAATAAAATGAAGTTAAAAGAATATTACTGGGGTGCATGGGTGGCTCAGTCAGTTAAACGTCTGACTCTTGATCTCAGCTCAGGTCTTAATCTCAGGGTCCTGAGTTCAAGCCCCACATTAGGCTCCATGCCCATCCTCCCTCCCTCCCTCTCTCTCTTTTTTCTTTTCTTTTTTTTTTTTAAGATTTTATTTACTTGACATAGAGAAACATAGCGAGAGAGGGAACACAAGCAGGGGGAGTGGGAAGAGGGAGAAGCAGGCTTCTCGCCGAGCAGGGAGCCTAATGCGGGGCTCGATCCCAGGACCCTGGGACCATGACCTGAGCCGAAGGCAGACGCTGAATGACTGAGCCACCCAGGTGCCCCTCTTTTTTTCTTTTTTAAAGAGAACATTACTGTTATGTCAAATACTCTTATGTTGCCTAATAGACAAAAAATAATTTTCAAAATAATAATAGCCACTGTTGGCAAGTCTACAGTGAAATAGGAATTCTCATACACTGTAATGAGAATAAACTAGTATAACCTTTCTAGAAAGCAAACTGGCACTGTGTATCAAGGAATCTTAAATTAGGGGTGCCTGGGTGGCTCAGTTGATTAAGCGACTGCCTTCGGCTCCGGTCATGATCCCAGAGTACTGGGATCGAGCCCCACATCTGGCTTCTTGCTCAGCGGGGAGCCTGCTTCTCCCTCTCCCTCTCCCTGCTACTCCACCTGCTATGCTCTCTCTCTGTCAAATAAATAAATAAAAATTCTTTAAAAGAAAAAAAGAAATCTTAAATTACAGTTAACCTTTGAACAATGTTGGGGGAGGTGTCAAGAACACCAACCACCCAGTCAAAAATCTACTGATAGCTTTTGACTTAACTACTAATAGCCTATTCTTGACTGGAAGCCTTACTGAGAATATAAACATAAAGTCAATTAACACAAATTTTGTAAATGTATTATATACTGTTTTGTTACAATAAAGTAAGCTAGAGAAAACAAAATGTTATTAAGAAAAATATAAGGAGAAAATATATTTACAGTACTGTACTATAAGAAATTTCCATGTGAGTGGATCCCGGCAGGTTAAGCCTGTGTTGTTCAAGGGTCAACTGTACTTTTATTCTTTGATCCAACAATTCCACTTTTAGGAATTCATCATAAAAAATAATCAGATTTACATATATAAATAGACATTTATACAGAAATGTTCAAAATACAGGAATTTTTTACAAAGAAAAACCAAAAACAACTAAGTAGTGAGAAAGGAATGATAAAATAATTTCTGGTGATAGTAAGTATAATTTACTAAATACTTCACAAATGCCAGCTAGAATGTTAAGATCATGATTTTACTTAACTCTTAAAATGGTAAGTAATATTATGCCTATTTTGCAAATAAGAAAACTAAGGACTAGAAAAGATAAGTATCAAGCTTAAGGCTCTTAAGTAGCAAAAGTGGGATTGAACCCAGATTTGTTAGACTCCACTAAGCACAATATCCATTTAGATTCCTAAATTGGAATTTTGTACAGTCATTAAAGACTATATTTTGGATAATATTTGAGAGTTTTTTTTTAAGACAATGTTCGAAAAGAAAGCAAGACACAACTCTAAATGTAATTTATACAGACACCCAAATGGGACTAGATTAGACTATAATATTAGACTGGAAAAGAAATCCCTGCGTAATGGGATTACAAGTAACTTTTTTTTTTTTTTTAAGAGTTTATTTATTTATTTGAGAGAAAGTGAGACAGAGCATGAGAGGGGAGAGGGTCAGAGGGAGAAGCGACTCCCCACTGAGCAGGGAGCCCGATGCAGGACTGGATCCCGGGATTCCAGGATCATGACCTAAGCTGAAGGCAGTCGCTTAACCAACTGAGCCACTCAGGTGCCCCACAAGTAACTTTATTTTTAGCATACTACTCTTTTTATATACTACTTTTGCATTTTCCAAATAATCTATAATATATACATACTTCAATAATCAGGGGGAAAAAAAATCACTATTATCAAAGATGAATCTTAGACTTCCCCTATACTTCCTCCAGCTGGCAAACCATACATCCCTTCCACCTTTTTCCATTGTGTCTATTTATATGGAAAAAGATCTAAACATGTAGGTAGCTTAAGTGTCCAACCAATATTTAGTATAATGGGGAATTGCTATAAAAACATACACTACCACCCAAGTACCAGTTTTATTTTATATATCTAGATTATTTCAATTCCATTTATTCACTTGAGTAATGTTCAACTTTTATCAACTGATCTTATGCATCTTCCTTTTTCCATAAAGAGAGCCTTATTGATACACTAGTTTAAACAAGGTTATGTAGCTTCTTCACATACATACCTGACCTAGAGAGTGTATTCTAAAAGGATATGGAAAATAAGGATGGGTAAGTAAGGTTTGATATACTATGGAGAAATGTGAAAGAACTGGCTCAAATGAAGAACTTAAAAATAAATAATATAAATTTTTGTTAATAATGAGACCATGAATATTTAAATTTCATATACACATTTTCCAAGCTCTTCTACCTCTATTATTTAATTTTAACCTGATAGAGAACCTAACCAATATATACTTGCTCACTAATTATCATCAAAATATTCCCGCATGGTACGCAGAGGCCTTATCAACTTGAGTTTTTTGTTTTGTTTTGTTTTGTTTCAACAGATAAAGATATATGTTCTTTTAAACATTAAAAAAAAAATTCTGGGTTAACATGAAATTTATAAAAGTAGTAGAGTGAACATGAACTCTAACAGTGGTATGGCAATAGTCAGTACTGCCATTAAAGTGAATATACCAATAAACACCACTTCAAAAAATACCTTCCTATTGAAAGCTACATCATCAACACAACACTCACTAAAAAAATTTACCATGTCATTTTATGAATAAATCTGCTATATTTATATAAAGACTACTAATTTTAGATAACCTTTACAGAAAAATATCAGAATAACAAATTTCTATAACAATCAAGAAAGATATTCTATTTAATATATGCAATATCAACCATCTAGAAAGAACAGGCCTAAGAAAATTGATACTAACAATCAAATTTATTAATAATACTTTAGCTCCTTAAAATCATCAAAAAAAGAAAAACAAAAAGCATCTCTCTATAAGGAATATATATATGGGAGCCACGGGACTCAAAACATTGTATCATCCCAAACAAGATCAAGAAACATCTCTTTCAGAAACAAATGCTACCAAAACCAATCAATCCATCTTTACTGGGGATTAAGTCACCTACAAAATGATTTTAAGTGCACCACTGTGATAAAAGTAAGATAAATATTAAATCTGATCAAGGTACCAAAGGGTGTGTCACTAAAAAAAAAATAGCATTTATAGAAAATGTAATCAAATTAAGGTAACCAATAATCTTAAAGTGTATCTATCTGACATAAGAACTATTATAATCGATCACTGAAGACATCCTAAATATCCCTGGATAAGAGTATGGCTAAATAAATTATGATTAAAATCACCCTTTAGAATACTAGGCAACTATTAAACAGTTTAAGATAGAATGAAGAAACCAGATGTGTGTAGAAACCAGAAAGACCTCTGAGACATACTCTTAAAGGAAAAAGCCAGTTGCTAAATAATATACATATCTTGGCCAAAGAATCCAGGAAGTGGTAATTCTTAGAGTTCTTCAACACTTTCTATAATTCCTCATTACTTACTGCCAGTACTAGTCTTGCTTGGTTATTTTAGAGCCTCACATTGTTGGTTTTACCAACATATTTTCTTTCTTTTTTTTTTAAAGATTTAATTTATTTATTTGACAGAGAGAGACACAGCAAGAGCGGAAACACAAGCAGGGGGAGTGGGAGAGGGAGAAGCAGGCTTCCCGCCCAGCAAGGAGCCCAATGTGGGGCTCGATCCCAGGACCCCGGGATCATGACCTGAGCCGAAGGCAGACGCTTAACGACTGAGCCACCCAGGTGCCCCCCAACATATTTTCATCTGTATGTGTTTATTTCCCCATTAGCCATGTTCCTTGATAACATAGATGATGATATATACTCCAATCTGACAGATAGCCATAGTCCCATACATAAAATAGGTGCACAAATAATATTTGCAAATGGAGAATATATAAAATATGAAGATGCATTTTAGAAACAGAAACTACAACATTAAAGAGGAAATATTAAAGGGGAAAAGCAGGGATGCCTGGGTGGCTCAGTCAGTTAAGCATCTGCCTTTGGCTCACGATCCCAGGGTCCTAGGATCAAGTCCCACATCGGGCTCCTTGCTTGGTGGGGAGCCTACTTCTCCCTCTGCCTGCCACTCCCTCTGCTTGTGCACTCTCTCTCTCTCGCTCTCTCTCACTCTGACAAATAAATAAATAAATCTTAAAAAAAAAAAAATCTGAAAGGAAGCTGAATTAAAAAAAAGGGGGTGGGGAACAGGACTACAATATAGTTGTTTTACACAACCACAAGCTCTTTGAGAAATTCTAGTAACAAAATCCGTGATTACATTTTCCTTCTGAGAGATTTTTTTAATCACTCAAATAAAAATGTTTGAGAACCTATGTGTAAAATATTCATCCTCTATGACTTTAATAATACTTACCATCTGTCCAACATTGATGCTAAGAACGTGCTTATTAAGGCCACAGTTGATATCTACAAACTCTACAGCTCTTCCTGTTATTCAACATGTCTTCTTACTACAAAAAAAAAATAATTTTATACATATAATAAAAGGCAAATCTATATCAAACTATAATCCTAAATGAAATCAAAGTTCAAAACATGTAATACTTATAACCTAAGTACATATGATATTCCACAGAGAAAGGCACAAAAGTAAAAAAAAGACAAAAAAGGCCAACCTCATTTGCCACCACTAGAGGTAACTATAACCCTCTGGAAATGGTTATATTAAAGGAACAAACTAAGCATTTATTCTCCAGGTAGAACATTATTTCAAGATAACAAAATAGCCCAAATTGATGAGGGAAACTTCTTCATAGAAGATGACTATGCAAAAGGAATGTAAAAGGAACAACAGAATCTTAACATTTCTAACAAGTAGCTGAACAAGAATCAGCAATCATCAATGAAGGCTAAAATCATTAGGTGAAACAGGTTGATAGAGATTTACCCGGAGCCAAAGTGCCATCCACAGATGACTTACAGATGCAAAAAGAAAAAGATAACTTTTCAATAAAATGATCTGGTTGTCACCTGGTGATGAAACACAGCATCAGAATGATGGGACAACTAAACATTATGTGCTCTTAATATGAAACAATATGAATACAGAGCATCACTTTTATTTAGTACTCTTCCAAAAATCTTTAACCTGAATCTGAAACACCTTTAGATATAACTCCAAGTTTAAATATGGGGGGGGGGGGGGCCGGCGGCGGGGAGACAGAAGGAGAGAGAGAATTCTAAGCAGGCTCCAGGCTCGGCACAGAGCCCAACATGGGGCTTGATCTCACAACCCTGAGATCATGACCTGAGCCCAAGTCAAGAGTCCGAAGCTTAACTAACTGAGTCACCTAGGCAGCCCCTAACTCCCTGTTTATAGAAAATATAGGGGATAGAGGAAAAAGTTCTACTACACCATGAGTAAACGATCAGCAATACAAAAAATGTCAGACATTCTCAACAGAGCTAACAAATCTGTATCACGGAGTAAGAGAGGGAGGGTGGTGAAGAGATAGCTAAGAGAGGCAGTTCTATAAAAAAAAAAACTCAAGAGATAACTAAATGCAATAGGTAGCTCTTGATTTGAATTTGGTATTAAAAAAAAAACAATAAAAGGGGCGCCTCAGTGGCTCAGTCAGTTAATCATCCAACTCTTGATTTTAGTTCAGGTCATGTTCTCCAGGTTGTGAGATCAAGCCCCACGTCACACTCCACCCTGGGCATGGAGCCTGCTTAAGATGCTTTCTCTTCCTCTCCCTTTGCCTCTCTCTGCCTAAAAAAATTAAATTAAAAAAAAAAACAAAAAAACAATAAAAGAGGTTTTGGGAACAATTGGAGAAATAAGACTATGGTATGAGTATTATATATTAGGGAATTATGATAATTTTGCTAGGAATAATCATGGTTTTACAGCTGTATCAGAGAATATCCTTTTTCTGGGATATATGCTAAAGATAATATGTCTTCTTATAATTTTTTTAAAAGAGCAAATTTCAAACTAAACCCTTAAACAAAATTGAGCAAAGTCCAAAATATATACACCTATAACATAAATGTATAATACTCAAAAAGGAAAAACCATGGGTGGCTTTTCCTGGGTGGTTCAGTCGGTTAAACATCTGCCTTCAGCTCAGGTCATGATCCCAGGGTCCTGGGATTGAGCCCCACGTTGGGCTCCCTGCTCAGCGGGGAGTCTGTTTCTCCCTCTCCCTCTGGCTTGTGCTCTCTCTCACCCACTCTTTCTCTCTCAAATAAACAAAATCTTAAAAAAAAAAAAAAAAAAAAAGAAAAGGAAAAACCAAAAAACAAATTCCACTTGCCACCATTAATTTACTTTTAAATGGTGCAGGATATTTATACATACATACACAGATATGTAAAGTAAATGTGGCAAAATTACTAACAATTATTTGAATCTAGAAGGTGGGTTCAATATACTATTCTACTTTTCTATATGCTTAAGTATTTTCCATTTGTAAAAGTTCTTAGAATGTACCATGCTTCAAGTAAACTTGTTTGTCTAGTCTACAAAGTAAAATCCTTTTTTAATCCAAATACCAACACTTAATTTGAAACTTCTAATTCAAATATGCCAAGTTTTCATAAAGCAGAGTAAAGGTTGTATCTGGTTATCTATCCATATGCATTCTGAGAAGAAAAATTCAATCATGCTATAAGTAAAGGGAAGGAAGAAAATCAAAGAAGAAATCTTTTTTTCTTAAGATTTTATTTATTTAGGGCGCCTGGGTGGCTCAGTTGGTTAAGCGACTGCCTTCGGCTCAGGTCATGATCCTGGAGTCCCGGGATCGAGTCCCGGGATCGAGTCCCACATCGGGCTCCCTGCTCGGCAAGGAGTCTGCTTCTCCCTCTGACCCTCCTCCCTCTCCTTCTGTCTCAAATAAATAAATAAAATCTTTAAAAAAAAAAAAAAAGATTTTATTTATTTATTTGAGAGAGAGAGAGAAAGAGCACAAGAGTGGGGTGAGGGGCAGAGGGAGAAGCAGACTCCCCACTCCCCGCCCCCCCCCCGCAGGGGACTCTGGGATCATGACGTGAGCCAAAGGCAGACACTTACCTAACTGAGCCACCCAGGTGCCCCTGAAAGAAGAAATCTTAAAGGATAAAACTGAAGGAGGGGCTCCTGGCTGGCTCAATCAGTGGACCATATGACTCTTGATCTCAGGGTTGTGAGTTTAAGCCCCACATTCGGCGTGGAGCCTACTTTAAAAAAATTAATTTTTTTAAATGAAGAAAAGGACCTTGAATTGGGGCAACAGGCTATCCGCTCGCAACAGCTATCTGCTCAGCGGCAAGTCTGCTTCTCCCTCTCCCTCTATGATCCCTCTCCCTCTGTGGATCACTTTCACTCTCTCTCAAATAAACACTCTTAAAAAAAAAAAAAAAGAAGAAGAAAAGGACCCTGAATAGCCAAACAACCTTGAGAAATTAAAACAAAGCTAAAGTCTTTGTTTCCTGACTGGCTTCCTGATTTCAAAACATATTAACAAAACTACAGTAATCAAAACTGTACGGTACTGGCATAAAGAAGCAGAAGAACAGCTGCAATAGAATATAGAGCCCAGAAATAAACCCTCACATACACAGTCAAGTAATCTTTATTTACTTGAGAGAGACAGAGACAGAGAGAGGGAGTGAGCACAAGCGGGGGAAGGGGCAAAAGGGAAGGGAGAGGAAGACAGAAAGAATCCCAAGCAGACTCCACACTGAGCATGGAGCCTGACGTGGGTCTCGATCTCATGACCCTGAGATCATGACCTAAGCCAAAACCAAGAGTCAGTCACTCAACTAACTGCACCACCCAGGTACCCCTACAGTCAAGTGATTTTTGACAAGGATACGAAGGCTACACAATGGGGAGAGGATAGTCTTTTCAACAAATGGTGCTTGAAGAACTGGATATCCACATGCAAAAGAATGAACCTGGACCCTTACCTGATACCATATACAAAAATTAACTCAAAATGGGTTAAAGACCTCAACGTAAGACCTGAAACCATAAAACTCTTAGAAGAAAACATGGCAGAAAGCTTCATAACATTGGACTGGCAATGACTTCTTGGTTATGGCACCAAAGCACAGGAAACAAAAGCAAAAATAAACAAACAGGACTATATCAAACTTAAAAAAAAAACTTTTGCACAGCAAAGGAAAACAATCAACAGAGCAAAAAGGCAATCTACAGAATAGGAGAAATATTTGCAAACCATATATCTGATAAGGTGTTAATATCCAAAATATATAAATAACTCTTACAAGTCAACAAAACAAACAAACAAAAAAAAACCCCTCAATTTTCAAAATGGGCAAAGGACTTGAACAGACATTTCTCCATAGGCGATTGATACACAAATGACCTACAAGCATATGAAAAGATGTTCAACATCACTAATCATCAGGAAATGTTAATTAAAACCATAATGAGATATCACCTCACACCTGTTAGGATGGCCACCACCAAAAAAAAGGGGGCAGGAACAAGTGTTGGTAAGGATGGGAAGAAACTGAAACCCTTGTGTACTGCTGGTGAGAATGTAAAATGTGCACCAGCTGAGTAATATATAGAATTGCTGAGTCCTATATTATATACCTGAAACTAATTTCACACTGGATGTTAATTATACTGGATTTAAAATTTTAAAAATAAAAATAAAATGTGCAGCTGCTATGGAAAACAATATGGAGGTTCCTCCAAAATTAAAAATAGATTATGATCCATCAATCCCACTTTTTGGGTATATATCAAAAAGAAATGAAAACAAGATCCCAAAGAAATATTTGCACAATCATGTTCATTAAAGCATTATTCACAATAGCCAAGAAGTGGAAGCAACCAAAAATGTCCATGCAACATAAATGTTCATTAACAGAAAAAAGGATAAAGAATACATGGTGTACACACAAACACACATGATGCAATAATACGCAGCCTCAAAAAAGGAAGGCAATCCTGTTATATGCTGCAACATGGATAAGCCTTGAGGACATTATGCTAAGTGAAATAATCCAGTCATAAAAATGCAAATACTGTACGATTCCACTTATATGAAGTATCTAAAGTAGTCGAGCTCTTAGAAACAGCAAGTAGCACGATGGTTGCAAGGGGCTGGAGAAGAGGAAGAAAAGGAGAATTGTTTGATGGGACTAGAGCTTCAGTTCTACAAGATGAAAACATTCTAGAGATCTATTGTATTAACAGTGCACATATAGTTAACATTACTGTACTGTTCATCTAAAAATGGTTAGGATAGTAAATTTTATGTTATATGTTTACCAATTTTTTTTTTTTAGATTTTATTTATTTATTTGAGAGAGAGAGTGAGAGAGAGAAAGAGCACAAGAGGGGGGAGCGGGAGAGGGAGAAGCAGACTCCCCGCTGAGCAGGGAGCCCGATGCGGGACTCGATCCCGGGACTCCAGGATCATGACCTGAGCTGAAGGCAGTCGCTTAACCAACTGAGCCACCCAGGCGCCCCTGTTCACCAATTTTTTTA